AAATGCAGTATTAGAATGTGGGGCAGAAGTTTGTGGTTATAGGAGGGGGGGGCAGGAGGAAAGAGGAGTGATTGGTGGAATGATGAAGTAAAGGGTGTGATAAAAGAGAAAAAGGTAGCTTACGAGAGGTTTTTACAAAGCAGAAGTGTTATAAGAAGAGCAGAGTATATGGAGAGTAAAAGAAAGGTGAAGAGAGTGGTGAGAGAGTGCAAAAGGAGAGCAGATGAAAGAGTGGGAGATGCACTGTCAAGAAATTTTAATGTAAATAAGAAAAAATTTTGGAGTGAGTTAAACAAGTTAAGAAAGCCTAGGGAAAGTATGGATTTGTCCATTAAAAACAGAGTAGGGGAGTTAGTAGATGGGGAGAGGGAGGTATTAGGTAGATGCCGAGAATATTTTGAGGAACTTTTAAATGTTGAGGAAGAAAGGGAGGCGGTAATTTCATGCACTGGCCAGGGAGGTATACCATCTTTTAGGAGTGAAGAAGAGCGAAATGTAAGTGTGGTGGAGGTACGTGAGGCATTACGTAGAATGAAAGGGGGTAAAGCAGCTGGAACTGATGGGATCATGACAGAAATGTTAAAAGCAGGGGAAGATATAGTGTTGGAGTGGTTGGTACTTTTGTTTAATAAATGTATGAAAGAGGGGAAGGTACCTAGGGATTGGCGAGAGCATGTATAGTCCCTTTATATAAAGGGAAAGGGGACAAAAGAGATTGTAAAAATTATAGAGGAATAAGTTTACTGAGTATACCAGGAAAAGTATACGGTAGAGTTATAATTGAAAGAATTAGAGGTAAGACAGAATGTAGAATTGCGGATGAGCAAGGAGGCTTCAGAGTGGGTAGGGGATGTGTAGATCAAGTGTTTACATTGAAGCATATATGTGAACAGTATTTAGATAAAGGTATGGATATGTTGTGTATCTTTATATGTGTATGCTTCTAGACTGTTGTATTCTGAGCACCTCTGCAAAAACAGTGATACTGTGCGAGTGTGGTGAAAGTGTTGAATGATGATGAAAGTATTTTCTTTTTGGGGATTTTCTTTCTTTTTTGGGTCTCCCTGCCTCGGTGGGAGACGGCCGACTTGTTGAAAAAAAAAAAAATGGAAGTTTTTATTGCATTTATGGATTTAGAAAAGGCATATGATAGAGTGGATAGAGGAGCAATGTGGCAGATGTTGCAAGTTTATGGAATAGGTGGTAAGTTACTAAATGCTGTAAAGAGCTTCTATGAGGATAGTGAGGCTCAGGTTAGGGTGTGTAGAAGAGAGGGAGAATACTTCCCGGTAAAAGTAGGTCTTAGACATGGATGTGTAATGTCACCATGTTTGTTTAATATATTTATAGATGGGGTTGTAAAAGAAGTAAATGCTAGGGTGTTCGGGAGAGGGGTGGGATTAAATTATGGGGAATCAAATTCAAAATGGGAATTGACACAGTTACTTTTTGCAGATGATACTGTGCTTATGGGAGATTCCAAAGAAAAATTGCAAAGGTTAGTGGATGAGTTTGAGAATGTGTGTAAAGGTAGAAAGTTGAAAGTGAACATAGAAAAGAGTAAGGTGATGAGGGTATCAAATGATTTAGATAAAGAAAAATTGGATATCAAATTGGGGAGGAGGAGTATGGAAGAAGTGAATGTTTTCAGATACTTGGGAGTTGACGTGTCGGCGGATGGATTTATGAAGGATGAGGTTAATCATAGAATTGATGAGGGAAAAAAGGTGAGTGGTGCGTTGAGGTATATGTGGAGTCAAAAAACGTTATCTATGGAGGCAAAGAAGGGAATGTATGAAAGTATAGTAGTACCAACACTCTTATATGGATGTGAAGCTTGGGTGGTAAATGCAGCAGCGAGGAGACGGTTGGAGGCAGTGGAGATGTCCTGTCTAAGGGCAATGTGTGGTGTAAATATTATGCAGAAAATTCGGAGTGTGGAAATTAGGAGAAGGTGTGGAGTTAATAAAAGCATTAGTCAGAGGGCAGAAGAGGGGTTGTTGAGGTGGTTTGGTCATTTAGAGAGAATGGATCAAAGTAGAATGACATGGAAAGCATATAAATCTATAGGGGAAGGAAAGAGGGGTAGGGGTCATCCTCGAAAGGGTTGGAAAGAGGGGTAAAGGAGGTTTTGTGGGCGAGGGGCTTGGACTTCCAGCAAGCGTGCATGAGCGTGTTAGATAGGAGTGAATGGAGACGAATGATACTTGGGACCTGACGATCTATTGGAGTGTGAGCAGGGTAATATTTAGTGAAGGGATTCAGGGAAACCGGTTATTTTCATATAGTCGGACTTGAGTCCTGGAAATGGGAAGTACAATGCCTGCACTTTAAAGGAGGGGTTTGGGATATTGGCAGTTTGGAGGGATATGTTGTGTATCTTTATACAGTGGACCCCCGCATAGCGACCTTAATCCGTGCAAGAGGGCTGGCTGTTATGCGAAATGTTCGGTATGCGAATTAATTTTCCCCATAAGAAATAATGGAAATCAAATTAATCCGTGCAAGACACCCAAAAGTATGAAAAAAAAAATTTTAACACATGAAATATACATTTTCCTACACACAAAGAGAAGGATACATGCACAATAGTAGAGTAGTACATGCACAATATATATTGTGCATGTACTACTCTACTAAATGAAGAATAAATGACACTTACCTTTATTGAAGATGCAGCAATGACTGATGAGACACTGTGTCCTGGGAGTGCCTTTTCCTCCTGAGTACTGTAGGTCCTGTTTGGCATTTTCTTCCAGAACATGCCTTATCACACTGTGTATGCCACTACATCTTAAATCTCTCAAAACACACCTTTGCTGGCTTTAAATTCACAAATATGAGCACTAGTTCCAGGCCATTTTTCCTGTCACCTGGGTGTTTAGTCGACTTGTGTGGTTGCATCTGGATGACAAGATTAAGGAACCCCAATGGAAATAATTAGCACTGTCTTCAGATTCACTGACTTTTTTGGGGTTATCCTGGTGGCAATCCTGGGTAATGTTTCTGTATTCTCATAAGGCCACACCAACAACGGTGGTACAGAGACAGCAGCAGCTGACGGTGGTACAGCAGCAACAGACGAGTTACATGCGCTGCAGACGATGCTACAGCAGCAGCAGCAGCAGAGACGATGCTACAGCAGCAGGCATGACGGTGGTACAGGCAGCAAACAGACGATGCTACAGCAGCAGCAGACGATGCTACAGCAGCAGCAGACGATGCTACAGCAGCAACTGACGTGTTACAGCATGCAGCAGACGATGCTACAGCGCAGCAGCAGCAGACGATGCTACAGCAGCAGCAGCAGCTGACGTGGTACAGCAGCAACAGACGATGCTACAGCAGCACAGACGATGCTACAGCAGCAGCAGCGATGCTACAGCGCAGCAGCGATGCTACGCAGCAGCAGACAGTAGTACAGCAGCTGCAGAGCTGACGGTGGTACAGCAGCAGCAGCTGACGTGCAGCAGCAGCTGACAGTGCAGCAGCAGCTGACAGTGCAGCAGCAGCGACGGTGGTACAGCAGCAGCTGTACCACCAATAGTAGCGATGGTTGATTGGGTTTATTATACAACCTGGCCAGCTCGGAGACACGCCTCCATTTTCATACTTATCAATGATCTTTTTCTTCATCTCCATAGTAATTCTCACCTTATTGCTGTAGGGTTGGCACTAGAAGCTTCTTGGGGCCATGGTCACTTATTTTCCAGAAAAAATCACCAAAAACACTGTAATAATACGAAATGTTCTGATTGTATGCTTGGATGTTACCGCGGAGGCTGGCTGGTAAACAATGCCACCGGCAGAACATGTGAGCGTGGCTCAGGCCGCACATTGGACGCGTCTCGGACGAAGGGCGGTGAACGGGTTTTTGGGCGGTATGCGAGGCAAAATTTTTGCGATCAAAGCGTCCGGTATGCGGATTGTACGGTATGCGATGCGTCCGGTATGCGGGGGTCCACTGTACGTATATGCTTCTAAACTGTTGTATTCTGAGCACCTCTGCAAAAGCAGTGATAATGTGTGAGTGTGGTGAAAGTGTTGAATGATGATGAAAGTATTTTCTTTTTGGGGATTTTCTTTCTTTTTTGGGTCACCCTGCCTCGGTGGGAGACGACCGACTTGTCGAAAAAAAAAAAAAAAACAGTAAATACTCATCATGCTTCTTCATATCACTATTCAAACTTTGTTCTCAAGATTACCTCTGTGCAAAAGTTTTTCTGCAATTTCATGCCATAAAGTTAGGAAATTTTGAAATATGGCTGGATCACAGGGATAATTCCTGTGCCTAGCGAATGGCCTAACTTAACTCCCTCATGTTAACACAATCACCCGCTTGGTTATTTTGTGTATTTGTCACGTAACATACTCTCTCATTTATCCCTTAACCTTTTTTTATATATACATGTATATATATATATATATTTTCACTATTCTGTCATGTCTCTGGATGTTAACAATGATGATGATTATGGAATGCTAGTGATAGTGAAGGTACGAAGTTTAAGCATCAGACAGCAAGAGAAAAGTGCATCTGAATTCAAGGTAGAGAAGGATTTTCATGTTGCTTATGTACTAATGCATTGGTGATTTTAAGAGCAGTTATTATCAGAACTAAGTGCTAAACCCACATGGGTCATACAGTGCTGCATTTTAAGAGCAAGCCACTGTTTATCACTCCTAGAATCCCTATACTTTAAAGACAAAATTAATTTGCCTTATTTGGTAATGTAACATAGATAAATTCAAGCATTATTTTATTCCTTAGTTAAAATGTACCTTTCGCAAAACATATATAAGGCTCTCCTTACTCTTGCTGTAGCCATCTTCAGGTTTTCCAGTCTGTGACTCTATTGTATGAATTCTTTTAATACCACTGGATCAAGAATTAAGACATTCGTTTGTCATATAAATGAAGGGTGGTACAGAAACTCCTCGCAGTAGTGGATGGTAATGCAGAGACGAGTGCCAGTTCCAGGATAAATTTAATATTGCAGGTGCAGTAGCCAACATGTTGCATGGTATCATGTTCAACAATAAATCCAGGCTGGAGCTAGTGTGGTGAATGAGTCCACATGCTTTTCCTGAAGAGAGTTGGGTCCAGGAAATTATGGCTGTGGCAAAGAGAATTCCAGGCAAGGGCTTTGAAGGTACATAGCCAGAAGACTTACTTTTAGACAATCACAAAGAATAAACTGCAAAGGAAATGTTGGAGACCAGTTCCCAGACAGAAGGAAAAGATAACAGAAAAGGATAAGGAAGAACCCAAACCTCAATAGGTGACACGCCAAAATAGACCCCTTACACATCAAATAGCGTTATTGTGAAGCTGGGTCTGGAATAGCTGATGATGCCTTATCAGCAGTAAAGAGTACTGTAGGGTAAAACAGCAGAGATGCTATACAAAATACTTGAGCACTCAGTACAATCATTAAGTAGCTGTGTCAACCTTAGCCAGAGATGCTACCAAGGTTGGAAACAACTCTCATAATCTAACCAAACACATTATTACAATCAAAACGAAGTACTAAAACCACAAGGGTCATACAGTGCTGCCAAACACAAAGAAGCTTGGAGACAAGTCCTCTAGCAGCCCCACTTCCAACCAGATTGCCACCTGCAAGTCCCTCCTGTATAGAAATTCTGGAACAGCCCCTGATTCCATCATTCCACTTCAGCCCACAAAAGTCACAGCAACTCTCTCCACTCCCATATAGATCACTGTGCATCAAAGTTTAAGGTAAGAAAAATTATTTTTGTATATATTTTTTTTTTGATTCATGCATTCATGTGGCTAAACCAGAATTCAAGGCAGTATGTACTCTTGTATTAATGTTGGTAGAATTACCAACAATATGTTAAGTAAAAGGACACAAATGCAACTAATGTGACATTTTATTATGGTAACGTTTCGCTCTCCAGAAACGTTGTCAAACCTGGAGAGCGAAACTACTACAATAAAATGTCACATTAGTTGCATTTGTATCCTTGTACTTAACAGTATGTACTCTTATTTGACTGTCTAAACCATGTTACATTAAACAAGGGCAGTATCAACCCCTCATCACATTCCTAGATAACACTGGTCCATTCTTTTGAAGTCCATCTCAAATCCAACCCTTCACATATATTTGTCTAACCTATTTTTAAAGTTACCCAAAGTTTTGCTTCAATAACCCTGCTTGGCAGATTGTTCCACTCTTCAACTCTATTACAGAATCGGTACTTATCTTAATCCTTTCTAAATCTAACTTTAATTTGAAGCCATAATTTTAAAAATTGGTGGTATGAACAGTGTAACCCTATTTTTTTTTTTTTTTTGCATGTTCTTCACCTTACGTGTCGTGGTTTTATCTATAGTGATGATTTCAGGAACATAACCTGCATGATGTGCAAGTTTACTGTGATATGTAACTTTAGAAATATAACAGTGATGAGTGTTATTCTAATAGATATTGTACACAAAGAATAGTTATAAAATCAAATTAATTTCATCTTGAAAATAGGTCAAAAAGCCACAGATGAGGCATGAAAGTGTAAATGCTTTTTAAGTTGAACTACTGCAGTATGTACATTGGTGGATACAGCTTAGACACCCAGTAAACCTTGTTAAATGTTCTTTTATAATTGCAAATGGGCACTACTTCATCTAAAAAGTGGGTACAAAGTTATTGTTAATCTTCAGTTATTTCATTTCCAATTATGGCAAATATTCTTTCACTAGTTATCAATTATAAGGCACAACTTTCTAGTATTAAGTTACTTTGACATTTAAACAAGGCTTAAAAATATTCACTTATTATTATTATTATTATTATAATCAAGGGGGAAGCGCTAAACCCGGAGGATTATACAGCGAGGAATATTCACTTAATAAAGGAGGAAAAATGATTCTAAAAAAGTATATTACAAGGATTTAAATTATAGTGCACTAAGCTTCCATCACTTTAATAGTTAAATATATATATTCTTAGGTATGTAATTGCTGTAAGTAAATATTTTCTACTTCTAGAATGTTTCAAAGTATTTCAAGCAGAGACCATTGAGCAGATTTGTAGTGTGCAAGGATGATATTTTTCCACAGCTGTGTTTCATAAATGTGGGCACGCACAACAATTTAAATGTATAATATAAATAAAATGTTAATGCAGAAAAGCATTTATACATCATGTATATTTTAGCTTTTTTTACTAGTCTCACAGCTATAATATACTTTTTTTCTATTCATGGGAGGAATTCTAAACCCTTAAGGTTAGTCATACAGTGCCTGGAGGTAATGGGAGGCAACCTGGTTGGATCCAAGGGAGGTTAGGGTCAATTCCTTGGATTAGGAGCTCTTTAACAGTACCACACAACCTTCCTTGAGGTTTTTGATTGTAAAACTAATTAAAAAAAAATTTCCAAAGTATATTGTGCAGGTACCAAGGGTATGCAAAATTAATTTTGAGGCTCATGTAGTATCTCCTGAAATAGTTACTCGGTGCATAGTGCATAATTTTCAATGCTTTAACAAGTGTGTGCAGAGTACACCACTACTGCTGTTTTTACCAAGAACATAACGTGTATTTGTGAATTTTTCCCAACTGAGGGAAGTCAACCCTCAGAGAGAGGTTCCTTGATATCAGTAAAGAGCTCTTGATCTAAAAAATCTGACTATTTCCCTTCCTTGGATTGAACCAAATTACCTCTCAATCACTAAAACATTGTATAACCCTTACCAGTACAGTGCTTCATGAATATAATGACAAGGGAAGCCATGAGACCAGGCATGTGCTTTAAAAAGTTCCATTTTTACAAACCTCGGTGCTTGCACAATACATTTGGATCAATTATTACACTAAATACAATTTAGATGAATTACCAAATTTAACAATAAATCAGCAAAATATTGATTCTATTATTAAACTGGCATACAGATTTTAGTCCCAAGGAAAGCACTTCATGCAGGTACCTCTTCATGAAAGGAAGTGGACCTGCCCTCTCCTTCCTAGTCTCCCTTCCACCCCAATTATAAAATTTTCGTTACCTCTTTCAAACTGACGATTCTTAAATTCTTGCACAATATAACAAATTATAATTAGTAACTAAAGTTTATACAATTAATAAATACTAATAGTTGCTCATAAATTAATCTTTGTGCTTTGATTTGGAAATAAGGGAAAGCATCTAATAATCAGTGTATCTAAATAGCAAGCTATTGAGAGCTCCTGATGATCAACTGAATCTAGTGCATTATCACAGCCCTAACCCTTCAGTCCCTAAGTCTTTTGTTAGCAACATGCAGACATTATTATACTCTCAGTATCATGTATTGCTTACCCATGGGTACTTTAGTATTAGGCAATTGCTTTTTTTTTTCATAAAGGCTATCTGAAATTGAATATCTTTTAGTATATGGAGAATTCTTGGACTAAGTCTGTCCCAATATAGTAAAAATTGAAGACTGTACTCCAGTCATTATGAAAATGTCATCATTTACTTTTACAGTATTTCTAGAAGGGAGGAACATTATCATGATAAAGCATATATTTATGGCTATTTACAATTTTGCAATAGGTGGCAGGGACAATTCAGACCATAATGCCATACATCAGGCTACTTATCACTAGAGGGACCAGTAAATCCTTCTAGACAATTTTACACACCTATCTGATATGTACAATACATTAAACAAATCAGGAAACCAATTTGACAAATTTACCCTTTAAAAATAGTTCTTTGCATTTGTAGATTCCAAAATTGTGAAAATTAAAAAATTTGTAATGTAATTTAACAGAACAGTAACACCCTATTAGTTTACATTAAATTTGCTTGTTTTTGTCAGGTCACATGTAAATCATGATTTTTCAATTTAAGTATGTTGCTACTTATTTAAATAAACTTTGTAACAAATGTACAGTTTTAAAGAAAATATACAATGACGCCGTTTTCAAGCAGCAGCATCACGATTCTACCACTGAATGATAAACAGGGCATATCTTCACTGTCATATTATGGCAGTCATGAAGTCAGACTTCCCAGTAATAGCGAGGTTGACCACTCGTCTGGATGCCATTCTTAGTGTGATGCACCTACTTTGTTGATAAGGTCATCACAAAGTTGAGTTAATTCTTGGTTTTCACGAGTTTTTCTGTCAAATGCATCTTGTAAAGACATAATTTTCATTTCTGCCTTTTTAAGAAGTGCTGACATTTTAGTCATTTCCTGGTCATTGGCTTTCCGCATGGCTTCAAATTCTTCGTTGGCTCTGAGGAAAAAAATGTTTTAAAGTGAAAAATGTATACAACTTTAAAAATACATGTACATAACTATAAAATGGACAAGAAACAATGTAAGAATTATAAGGGAACAGGCACAGGTGGGAAGTACCATGCCTGCACTCTGGTGTGGGGATGTGGCAGTTTAGAGCGCCGTCTGAACCGACGCGATGCCCTCCTGGCAAGACTGACTGAACACAAGACAGCGAAAGTGTTTTTTCTCCTTTGTTGGGTCACCCTAGGGGACGGCTGGAGTGTTAAAAAGCTGAATATACTAAAGGAAGTTTATGGTAGAACTGCAGAGGGAGGATATAGGAATGGTAAGGTATGGGCAGTCCAAGTATTTACTGAAGCATATAAGTGACAGGTTAACCATAGAATTGATGAGGGAAAAAAGGTGAGTGGTGCTCTGAGGTATCTGTGGAGACAAAAACATTATCCATGGAGGCAAAGCAGGGAATGTATGAGAGTATGGGTATAAAGCATGGGTTGTAAATGCTGCAGCGAGGAGGAGGCTGGAGGCAGTGGAGATGTGTCTAAGAGCAATGTATGGTGTAAATATTATGCAGAGAATTCATAGTGTGGAAATTTGGAGGTGTGGAGTTACCAAAAGTATTAGCCAGAGAGCTGAAGAGGGGTTGTTGAGGTGGTTTGGTCATTGAGAGAATGGAACAAAGCAGAATGACTTGGAGAGTGTTTAAATCTGTAGGGAAAGGAAGGTGGGGTACGGGTGTCCTAGGAAAGGTTGGAGGGAGGGGGTAAGGGAGGTTTTGTGGGCGAGGGGCTTGGACTTCCAGTGTGTGAGAGCATGTTAGACAGGAGTAAATGGAGATGAATGGTTTTCATGACTTGACATGCTGATGGAGTGTGAGCAAAGTAACATTTCTGAAGGGATTCTGGCAAGCTGGACTTGAGTCCTGGAGGTGAAAAGTACAGTGCCTGCACTCTGAAGGAGGGGTGTTGATGCTGCAGTTTTTTAACTGTAGTGTAGGTACACCTCTAGCAACACAGTGATGGAGTGAATCATGATGAAAGTGTTTCTTCTTTTTCAGGTCACCTTGTCTTGGTGGGGAAATGGCCGATGTGTTAAAAAAAAATAAATATGTAAAAGGAAATGAAAAGTGAACATTGAAAAAAAAAAAAAAAAGATTAAAGTGATGAGGGTAACAAAGTCTAATCAATGCTAGGTTGAATATCAGATTGGAGGGAGTATGAAGTAAGTGTATCTAGATAAGTGGGAGTGAACGTGTCAGCAGATGGGGTCTATGAAAGATGCCATTTTTTCTCCACAGCCCTCTGTTACTGTTGCATATGTGTCTTACCTAACAACAACTATACCAAGGGTATAATTCAAGAGGAATAAGGAGAGGTTGCTGAGGTTTTCTGGGCATGTTGAGAGGATGGAGAGGAATAGTTTGTTAAAGAGGGTGTATAAATCTGGGGTGGAATGTAGGAGGATCCCCAAGAAGGGATAATAGGCTTTTAATTTTAGTTGCATAAACATCCATCAGGCTTGTGTGAACATGTTATATAGGAGTGAATGGAGACAAGTGGTTTTCAATAAATGTGCTACTGGAGTATGAGCAAGTTAACATTTATGAAGGGATTCAAAGAAATTGGTTCAGCCAGACTTAGAGCCCTATAGATGGGAAGGGCAATGCCTGTACTATGGATGGAAGGTGGGAATGTTGCATTTGGAGGGTAATCTGAATTGTGATTTCAGCACACTTCTGCAAGACAACAAGTGAATGAATAATGGTGAATGTGTTTTCTTTGGGTCACCATGCTTTGGCATGAGATAGCCTTTGTAGTAAAATAACAAAACTATTAAAATATATTTTTTTTAACAGCTCAACATACTAGCTGTTTTCCACCAAAGGAGAATATTGCAAGTGAAATGCATTCAACATGAATTGCTCCCCTAGCACATGCAATGACAAACTGAACCACATCCCTACATGCCCTGCATGTCCAGGCCCCTTTCAAGACAATTTTCATACAGGGCCATATTATTTCCCGCTACCCTGTATGGTTCTATTAAACTTCTTAAACCAAAGTGAAACCATGATAGCAGCACATACTCCATAGCAGTTTTACAAATCACATTTTTATCTTCTGGATTAGTAAAATTGAGTGAAATAATATCAATCAAGTTATTTCTGGAAAGCTTTAATTTTTATAATCCAGATATCCATATGCATGAGTTATTCAAAATAAAAAAATATACTAAAAGGGGAGAAGGGCTTGATGCTAGTAACAGACTTTTGATCTGGTTCTAATCTCACTTTCCTTGAACCAAACCTGACTGCCTTCCATTTCCCAGGTGTAGTACGATCTTTACGAATTTAGTACTTCCCAATGAACATAATAAACATTTAAATAAGAGATACTGGCATATCCTCAGAATTAATGTAACTAATTGTTAGGAATTTATCAGAGCAACTTACAATTGTATCTTCTCTTCTGCATGTTTTTGAAATTCTATAAATTTTTGTTCTTGTTTCTGCAACTTGGTCTCATAATCAGCAACTGCTCCACGGAGAGTCTCCTCATTTCTTCTAAGTGTATCCACAACTTGCTTTGTTCTTTCATATTTTCTGTAGATAAAAGTTTTTGAGACAATTGTCATGTACAGTAAAAGAAAATCTTAAGATGAGAATAATAATAGGTGTAAGAGTCATAGGAAGAGAAGATAAAATAAAAGTAGAAAGGAGTACAAGTGTGAATGTGCAGTTATGCTAGCTTAAGTTGTTTGTTGTTCCACTCTCAGTGGGTTGAAATAAATTTTTCTTATTTAACCTTTAAACTGTCCAAACGTAGATCTACGTTTTTTTCAACATTTGAAAGTATGTAAAAAAACGTAGATCTTTTCTGTTTTTTCATTTGAAAACGTGTAAAAAAAACTATCTACTTTTTTTCTTATATTTGAAAATATGTAAAAAAAATGTAGATCTACTTTTGGAGCACTACACATGTGAACATAAATTTGTTTGGACAGTTTAAGGGTTAAAAGTTGGTCTTTTGATTGGTAAAGAAAGTCATTACAAATAATGCCTGAAGATACAACTACTACTGGCCCACACACAAAAAAGTGGTAGAGATACAGTGCTTGTCATGGCATTATGCCGCCCCTCCCCCACACACGTACCAAAACACAAACATACCATGAAAGATTATAAGAGTATATATATATCTGCACACTTATTGAGGTTTTAATACTTGGTGCTGCATCCTTTACACTTAATCACATCCCTCAGCCATGTAGGATGACTCACAAATTCTTGAGGGTTTGGGGAGGTATATTCCATGCCTCATGTAGAGTAGCCTCCAGCTGTGGGATGGAACTAATATCCTTGCCCAGTAAACATTGTTTCACTATTGACCAGAGGTTCTCAATAGGGTTTAATCTGGGGAATTGCCTGGCCAGTCATTGAAGAACCTCACTTCACAGTCCTTAAGCCATTGAATTACAGATTTGGCGGTATGACACGGTGCACCATCCTGCATAAAAACTGTCACACTTGTCAAATACCTCAGGTAAATTGTGTCACAATAACTCCAGGTAATTATACTGGTTTTTGGGAAGCACAATGAGTTTACCAACAATATGAGCACTGAAACACCCCCAAACTATGAGCGAGTCTGGGTGTTTGATGGTCCCACAGGTGTAGCGTGGGTCTAGTAGGTCACTATCTCTGAGCTGGTACACATGTTCACCACAGTTACAGGTGACGGTGAAGGTTGCTTCATCACTCCAAAGTACTTCAGACCACTATTGAGGATTCCATAGTCCAGCCTACGTTTCTTCTGTGGCTTGGAGAGCATTGGTTTCTTAACCTGGCGGTGACGACTGTAGCCCAGTTCTTACAGATACCTCTGAGAGAAGAAGTGGGTTCTTTTCTTTCAATTCTCTAGCAGTTATCTTAGGTGTACTCTCTAACTGCTGCTTTAACACAGTTAAGGTACGAACAGATGTCTTCTTCGAGGGGCCAGGCCAAGGTCTGGCAGACGGTATCTCAACACCACCACCAGCCTTGAAACGCTGCACCCAGTTCCTCACTGAACGCTCGCATACACCAACATTCTCCACTATTTCTTTCGTCTGGCGCCCATCTTTGTGAAGCCTTATGATTTGCACTATAGTTTCAGTTGTTATAGACTTTCTTTTACCTATAATCAAACGTGTATAGCCCCAAAACCAAAGGGAACACCAGACAAAAGATGGAGTGGACGAGAGACAAAAGTGCAACGCTTCCTCTCACCACAGCAGCCACGTGAGCACTGAGGAGTCACTGTGGAGTGTGGAGGCAGATTGTAATGTCATGCTAATGGCTGCTACCTGGCATAATGCACTGACAAAAAAAGACCCCCCCTGTATGGTAGGCCTTTGATTTTCATCTGGGCAATATACAGGGGCGCTCACCTGGCATAATGCCGTGACGAGCACTGTATGTCAATACTGTAACTTGACACAATATTCACCAAGCATTCATAATATCCTAGTGTTAAAGCTTTCATAAAAAATTAATCAGTTGTGAGGAATGAGTGGAAATAGCCTTCACCAAGCAAAGATGAGAAAATATAAGTTAAGATATATTGGGAGGTGGCCTGGTTTACCTGGAGAGATTTAGAATAATAAATATTACCTAAATGTGATGTGTAAAAATTAATAGCTAAATAGTACTAGAGTGCATGACCAAAGATAGGTACTGCATAACCCTCAGGGGGTTTAGCAATTCCCATTGAAATAATCATCAATGGGGAAACGTTGAGAGCTTCCAAAAGTAACTGGTAATCACTTAATATTATAGATATAAAACACAATGGGAATATTAAGAGAATGAAAGATGGTCATAATACTGAATATAAAAATAGATACTGGTAAAAAATACAATATCTTGAATAATTTTGCCAAGTGTGTGAATGTCTTCCTTAGTTATTTCATGTGAACAATTATAAAAGAAAATAGTAACACTTTCTTCTATAATATCAAATTAACTCAGCCTAAATTTGTTTGAAGTAATTTATAATTACCTGTGTACATCAGAGAAAGCAACCTCTACATTGGCTAGATCCTCCAGTGCCTGGTTTCTCTCAACCTCTATAGCTTTAATTCTCTCATCAGCATTTTGTTTATCTTTCTCCTTTTCACTAACGAGTGAGGCTAACATGCCCTTGTACTGACCCACCATCTTCAACAGTGCGCGCGAGGGGCTGTGTCAGTTCGCCATAGATTCTCCAAAGGGGAGTCAATTTTTTTTCTATCCTTCATGTTTGCCGTAATGTTTTTTCCTTCTTCCCCAAACCAGTTTCCTGCAGCAATTTTTCTTCAAAATTTAGCTTTGACGCTTTTGGAGATCTTGACCCCTTTAAAACAGAAAAAGTTATGAATTAACAGTTTTCCCTTGAAAAAAAAACAGCA